CTTTGGAACCAGTTGATGGATGAAGTGGTAGAGCTTTGGAACCAGTTAATGGATGAAGTGGTAGAGCTTTGGAACCAGTTAGCGGGAATGGTGAAGGTCTGGAGCCAGTTTGAAGAAAGCTGTAAAGCTTCCGTGCTACATACAGGAAGTGATGGAGCTTCAGAACCAGTTAAGAGAACTGGTTGAGGTTTGGAGCCAGACACTCATAGAAAGCTCTAAACATTAAAAGAAACTGGTTGAAGTCCAAAACCAGTTGGATGAACTGGAAGAGCTTTAGACCATTCTAAGGATTCAGTGGAGATTCAGAACCAGTAGGAGGAACTGGTAATGGTCTATAACCAGTTGGAGGAAGTGGTAGAGTGTTGGAATCAGGTAGAAATTGGCAGAGCTTCAAAACCAGTGTGAGGAACTGGTTAAGGTTTGGAGCCAGTTAGAGCTGCTGCTAGAGCCTCTAAACTAAATCAGTAGTGAGAAGAGATTAGTAAGCTTTAGAACCAGTTAGTAGAACCAGTATAGGTCTAGACCCAGTTAGAGGAAAGCTGCAGAGCTTCAGAGCTACAAACAGGAACTGATCAAGCTTTGAAACCGTGACAACAAAAGAGAAACCCGACTGATGGTCCTCGTAGTAGAGTTGAAATGTGCCGACAGACGTGACGCTCTGCAGACACAAACAGTCTTTATTTAGTCTGAGGAGAATCTATTTCACATTTATAGTAACGTCTGAAATCATGCTGCTCTTTTCCTCAGAGAGAAGCTTTGTTGTAGCTCAGCCTCTCTCAGTCTGAAGTTAAATGACACTTTGTGAAGTTACACTTTCAGAAAGTTTCTCCCCCGCTGCTGCAGGAAACTGGTTCATCTAACATTTGATCAGAACAGAGGATTTTCTGAGTCAGAGTCAGAGCTGACGTTTTAGGGAAGTTGAAAAGGACACTGACGCTCTCTGTAAATCCTCTTTGGAGGAGGAAGATGAGGGAGGAGAAGAAGACAGTGATGGTCACTGGCAAAGATCAGGCTTCTTAATCCTGTCTGAACGAAAGAGGGTGGCGGTCTGCCTGGTTAATATTAAAATACAACATTTTAATGAAATCGTGCTTCCTGCTTCATCACCTGAGGGCCGCTCACATCAGATTGTAGCAGGTCCGCTCTGAAATATCTCCCCTCTCTCTATCCGTCTCTGCCGCTGTTAAATATTTCAGACGTTTGATAAAATATAGATGGACGACAGAATCGAGGATGACTTCACTTCTTTTCCCAGATTATTATTTTATTTCTGTCTGCTGAGGGGAGGAAGCTCTGGAGTCGGAGCGCAGAGACAGAACAGAGGGACAGATGGAAGAAATAAAAGTGGAAGTGCAGTAAAATGGTTTTATGGCAGATAGAGTCCACCTGTCCTTGTGTGATGTAGAAGAGTTTCGGGGCTGCTCGGTGGTGGAGCTGATGAAGAAGGAGGGGACGACGCTCGGGCTGACGGTCTCAGGCGGCATCGACAAAGATGGGAAGCCCCAGGTTTCAAACCTGCGACAGGGAGGCATCGCCGCCAGGTAACAGTCGTCTCTGGTTTTTCTTTTTATTGTGTTTTAATCTGCACTGGATCTATTTCTGTTGTGTGTTCTGGCTCCAGCAGATAAGCTCGGAAATGCAAAGACATTTTTATCATTTTAAAATCACATTGCAGCTGTCTGTTTATGTGATAGTGATTGATTTAAATCCCACATATCTGCTTCTTATATAAATGTTATTAAAGCAAGTTTTACACTGAGCAGGATGTCATTATAATTACAGAGTTTTAAACTGTTTAAAGGAACAAATAGAGAAACTTGGATCCAGAACGGGCTTCAGAAACTGTTTAAAGGAACTGGTGAAGGTTCAGAACTAGTTAGATTAATGGGTAAACCAGTAATAGGAACTGATACTGCTTCAGAACCAGTTAGGGCAGGGGTCAGCAACCTGCGGCTCCGGGGCTGTATATGACTCTTTAGCCCGTCTCCAGTGGACCCGTGTGGCTTTGACAGAAACTGATATGGAAATGAATAACTGTTATTTTGTTGGAACATTTTAATTTTCATTTATTGTTGTAGGCCTAAAGTGACTCCTACGTCTCATGAAAAAAAAAAGTTTTTACATTTCGTCAACTAAAATGTGCATCATACGTCTGTGGCCTGGCGCCGTTTCCGCTACAAACATCACCAGTGATGGCTACAGTAGTCTTGAGTCTCCCTTGCTCGGATAGCTGTGGATTCAAAATCCAAAAGGAAAAAGTCTGAGGGGTAAATATTGAATTTAATTTAATTTAATTTAAATTTGTTTGCTGTCATTGGCAACGCCGCAAAGTTTAACTACCAAATAATCTTAAGCCCTTTTAAACAGGAGTTGTGCAAATTTACAGGAAAGCCCAATCAGTTTTTTTTCAGCATTGGCAGTATAAAAACAAAATCGGGGAGTGCAGCAAAATGCCGCCTACCTACTTTTGTTTATACAGAATGTGCCTTTTTCTGGGCAATGGGGGGCGTGAGCAAGTAACAAAACATGTAGCTCAGCGTGTGACGTGAACAGTGACGTGGGAGGGAAGCCGCGGCTGGTCAGTCCTTCGGTGATTCTCTCGTAAGTCGGCCTGTTCTTCACCGTCCCCGTCATCTGACGGTTAATGGCCTCTTCGTTTGCGAGGACAAGGAGGGAGCGCAATTCCTTGTCTCCCCAGTTGCTCATCTTTACAGTGTCTGTCAGGTTTGTGTTTCCCTCTTGCTACTAGCTGCTCATTCCCAGTTGGAAATCGCTGTCTGACAGAACAGTAAGGCGGTGAAAATACGCTGCTTCTCCAAACTGTGGGCGTGCCAACCGCCATCTACTGTAGGTAATACACTGACTATGAATAAGTAACTCACCCAACCCAACTTCAAAAGATCCAAACCATCCCTTTAACTGGTAAAGCCATTATCTAGTGGAGCTTCATAACCCTCAGGAGCAACTGGTAGAGGTTTGAAACCAGCTAAACTTTGTCAACTATTTCAAACATATCTTTGGAATTTCTTTACAATACTGATATATCTGCATGCAGTAATGTGCTTTTGGCCGATTTAACAGCCCAAGTGATTCATCTGTCCTGTTTTATCCACTTAAAAATGTGTCTTTATCATCCTCTGCTAACCTGGATCAGTGCTTTTATCTCGACCTGTGCAGACTACATATTCTTGCTTGAGTTCTTCTCTCTCAAGGATAAAAGAATTAAAGGAGACGTGACCACATTGCCTCTTCCTTTCACTGGCTGCTGGTTCATTTTAGAATCCACTCCAACTTTTCTGATGTTACTCATGGCTCTGATCCCAAACTACATGTGTTCACTCCTGTTTCTAGTCCCAGGTTAGAGGCTAGAGATGACAGAGACCCAGCACCAGCGTCCACTCTGTGGAGTTTTTCAGCCTCAGCTCGAGTCGAGCCTCACCCTGCTTGTCTCTCACAAAGTTAACTTAAAATTTAGAGCTGACGTTTTGACTGCTTGTCCAGGAGCGACCAGCTGAACGTGGGCGACTACATCCGAGCCGTTAACGGCATCAACCTGGCCAAGTTCAGACACGATGAGATCATCAGTCTGCTGAAGAACGTCGGGGAGCGGGTCGTCCTGGAGGTCGAGTACGAACTGCCACCTGTCTGTAAGTATTGCCAGGTAGTAGTACTAGAGACAGTTGGGGCTGTGGTGGAATGTAACTAAGTACATGTACTCGAGTACTGTATTAAAGGTACTTAAATATTGGTAAATATAAACATCAGATACGACAGGAGAACACTAACATTTTAACATTTTACTGAGCTGTACATGCGTTTACTTAATAATTGGTTTAAATGCAGGACACTTACTTGTTCTGGAGTATTTTCAGTGAGTTACTTCAGTAAAGGATCTGAATACTTCCTCGACCCCTGTACTGAGAGTGTACTAAGTGTGGTGGAGATCAGAGGTGATGTTGATGTGTTGGTGCTGTCGTGTGTTGCAGCAGTGCAGGGCTCAGGCGTCATGTTTAAGAACGTAGAAGTCACGCTTCACAAAGAAGGAAACAGCTTCGGCTTCGTCATCAGAGGTGAGTCAAGCTCAGTGTGTGTGTGTGTGTGTGTGTGTGTGTGTGTGTTAGACATAAATACATGACGTGTGTTTGCAGGTGGAACCCATGAAGACAGGAACAAGTCACGCCCGATCGTCATAACAACCATCAGGCCAGGCGGTCCAGCCGACAGGTGGGTGACCTCTGCCCTCTCTGTCTGTTCTGAAGGGTGTTTTGTCCCTTGGGAGCTGCTGTAGACACTGAAAACTGTCCACTCTCTCTGTCTCCAGGGAAGGAACCGTGAAGCCGGGTGACCGGTTGCTAAGTATCGACGGGATTCGTCTCCATGGCAGCACACTAGCTGAGGCCATGAGCATCCTGAAGCAGTGCGGGCAGGAAGCCACGCTGCTGCTCGAGTACGACGTCTCGGTGATGGGTCAGTTTAAACTCTGTGGTTAAAACTCAAACTGTCATCAATATTTGGAGTTTAAAGTTGAGTTAAACTAAAAAAATGGCTTTTTTTTACTCCTTTAGATCAGCAGCTGTTTTGATAAATATTTAATTGGCTCATGTTTCAAGAATAAATACCCAAAATGTTTATGATTCCAGTTTTTTAAATTTTTTAGGATTTGCAACTTTTCTTTGTTTTGTATTATGAAAGTATTAATATTGTTGTGTTTTGGACAGTTTGGACAATTGATTATTCCCTAACCCTATTATACTGTTGATAATTTAATTGATTGATAATTTTAAACACTTGCTATTCCAGTCAGTGTCGTATTTTATTCAATTGGAGCAAATTTTTTTTTTTTAAATTAATTTTAACAACAATAAACGATTATAATTAAATAATAAATTGTGCCATCAGTCTTTAAAAGGTAAATTTATTTACACAATTTATACACAAGTTTTATCTTTCTTAACAAACATTTCAATTTTAGAAGAAATTGAAAACAAACTTGAGAAGAATGAACAGAAAATGGAAATATATGAAAGTAAATTTTGAGGTAATTTAGATGAATTAAATAAAATCTGTAAAAACAGCATGACTGAGCACCAAAAACACTGACATCTGTTTTATTGCTTTATTGTGTTAAAGATTTTTGGACGTCTGGTCATAATCTGATCAATGTACTGAATCAATTTCTGAACTTGATGGTAGCTGTTATAATAAAGTGATGATGTAAAGTTGAGTATCGTCTGCGTAATAATGACTGTAAATATGAATAATATGAATAATGTGATCTGGTTTAAAGTCACTTTAAGATTGAATAAAAGAGGATCAAAAACTGAACCCTGAGGAACTCCATAATGAAGTATTTTACTGTAAACACATAAAAAAGTTATGTATTTTTGTCGTTTCAGACTCTGTCGCCACGGCGTCGGGGCCGCTGCTGGTAGAGGTTGCCAAGGCGACAGGCTCCAGTCTGGGCGTGGCTCTGTCCACCTCAATGTTCTGCAGCAAGCAGGTCATCATCATAGACAAGGTCAAACCAGCCAGCATAGCAGACAGGTACCTGACTTCTGACCTCTGACATCTGACATCTGACACTGACTGTTTGTTCCTCAGCACACATTTAAATGCAAATTTTGATTATTAAGATTTAAAAGGCTTTTAAATTTGAATTGTTACAGTATACGAGATGATTAATGTAGCTATATGTACGCAACGCCGGTGGATCTGACAGCAGTATAGACAGAGTGCTGATATTTATGTTAATATTAGATTTAACGTGCACATTTTGGCGCTGATGGGAGTTTCCTTTGATGTCGTACTCAGATGTTCACAGAGCAGCTTTTTTTCTGTGTGTAATTGTTTATATAATTTGCGCATACATTAAATCAAATGTTTTCTGTTGTACAGAAACAGGTTATGAAATTATTTATGAACATAATTTTAAAAGATCAAAATCCTTTTGATCTTTACTTGACTCCGTACACTCCCCTTTAGTAAGTTTAATCAGTTAATAAAATGTATTTTGTTTCAGAACGACTGTCAGAGTTTTAGAGAAACTGTGAGGACTACTGTAAATATATTTGATGACGTGTGTGTGTGTGTGTGTGTGTGTGTGTGTGTGTGTGTGTCCAGGTGTGGGGCTCTTCACGCAGGAGATCACATTCTGTCTGTTGACGGGAAGTCGATGGAGTTTTGTTCTCTGGCTGAAGCCACTCAGCTGCTCTCTGCCTCCTGTCAGACCGTCCGCATGGAGATCCTGCCACAACACCAGGCCCGACCGGCCCTGAACGCACCACAGCACGGTATTAACACACAACACCAGGCCCAACCGGCCCTGAATGCACCACAACTCAGTATTAACACACACACACAACACCAGGCCCGACCGGACCTGAATGCACCACAGCACGGTATTAACACACACATCGGGCCCGACAGGCCCTAAATGCACCACAGCATGGTATGAATGACATTCAGGCTTGACCAGCCCTGAGTGCACCACAGTACAGTATAAACACATACACCAGACTCAACAGGCCCTGAACGCACCACCACATGTTATTAACACACACAACATTAGGCCCTGACTGGCCCTGAACGCACCACAGCAAGGTATAAACACGCAATGTTAGGCCCTGACCGGCCCTGAACGCACCATGGGATGGTGTAAATACACACAACAGGCCCTGAGCACACTACAGCATGGTATAAACACACACACACACACACGACACCAGGCCCTAGAGGCCCTGAACGCACCACAACAAGGTAAAAACACACATAACATTAGGCCCGACTGGCCCTGAAAGCACCACGACATGGTAGAAATGCAGACCAGATATTCATGTTCATATTTAAGTCTTAACCAAGAAGTGATAATTAAATTTAAATGTCTTCAGGGCTTTTTGAACCTTACAGTAAACCTAAACAGTCCAACAGACGATCAGTCACATTATATTTTGGGTCTTTTTCCTAAGTATCTTGTAATACAAACAATATGCAGAGGAGGATTCACATCATAAGCCTGTTTATCCAACAGCAGAAGGGCAGCAATCTGTTCAGCAGACGGGACGATGATAAAATACATTTCTCTGCCAAATAAGAAAGAATGGTTAACAAACATAATGAGTGTGCTTTGTAAATATCCCCAGTGATATCACAGTCTGTGTGTGTGTGTTTGGAAAGGTCACAGGAGCAAAACTGCTGAATGAAAAGCATCAGATCTCAGAATCAGCCTCATCGGCCGAGTAGGTGTGAACTACACGACCAGGAATCTGACTCCAGGTTTTAGAGACAAGTCTGTGATCAACTCTGAGTGATGATGTCATAACACCTGAGGAAATAATTAATGCAGTTTTTTTTTTATCTGTAACAGAGTATTTTTACTGTGGTAAAGGATCGTAATGTTTCCTGCACACATGGGGCCCTGAATGCATCACAGCTACTTACTAGAATAACACATAAAAGATTACATGAATGAGATATAATCTTTTATAAAGCTGTGATGCAGCTGTCTGACCTTTGACCTTTGACCTTTCCTCCTGTCTTAACCTTAACACCCTCCTCTGTGTCTGTGTGTCCGTGTGTGTGCAGTCAAGGTGCAGCGTAGTCCCCGCCCCCTCCCCTGGGAGACTGGAGGCTCCGCCCCTATCCTCCCCCCCTACCACTACAACACGTACCACCCCGACCAATCAGCTGCCAGGTCGCACAACCGCCATACAAACAACCCCCGTACGTCCCGCCTCTCTGTCTTTCTCTCTCTTCCTGTAGTGTGACGTTTTGTAGTCAGAGTGAGACCTCCTCTCTTCATCATCATCGTCATCATCACTGTCGTCTCTCTGTCTCTGCAGCTCTCAGCCACTCGTTCTCTCCCGGCTCCATGTCGGCCTACAGTCTCTCGTCCCTCAACATGAGCACTCTGCCCAGGAACATGTATCCCACGAGTCCACGGGGCACGCTGATGAGGAGGAAGGCCAAGAAGAAGGACTTCAAGAGTTCCTGTGAGTCTGACCTCTGACCTCTGACCTCTGACTGTAGTGGTGTCAGTACTGACCTTCAGTCCGACATTAAAAACAAACAACACTAAACGAACTTGATGTTTATTAACCGTCTGTCTCGCCTCCGTTTGTCTCTCTGTCAGTGTCGCTGGCGTCCAGCACTGTGGGTCTCGCCGGTCAGGTCGTTCACACGGAAACCACGGAGGTGACGTTGCTAGGCGATGGCATCATGGGCTTCGGCCTGCAGCTGCAGGGTGGAGTCTTCGCCACGGAAACGCTCTCTTCACCGCCGCTCATCGCTTACATCGACCCCGACAGCCCAGCTGAGAGGTAACGAGACCAAAGTTATGCACAGTGATACTGCTGCTAATGATAATAATAATAATTTTATAATTTACTGTCTGTAGCTTCTTTCACTCACATCAAATGCAGCTGAAAAGGGTCTACAAATAAAAAATAAAAAAGAGAAGAGTGTTTTAAAAAGAGGGAAGCTAAATAATAATAAAATAATAATAATAAAATAAAGAATTAAAATAATTTATACGTTAATAAATAAAATTAGAAAATAAATAATAAATGTTATTTGTTATCATTGAAATATCACACAAGAACCACAATGGAAATAAGTTCTTTATATAACTTTATTTTCTTTTTCTCAGCGTTTTAATTTAGCATTTATTTAGTGTAGCGTATGTATAACCTAAATTATATATTTGTTTTAAAATGTCAAATAAATCAAATCAACTGTGTTTTAGATTAAAGTAGTATATTAAATTATATTTATTTTATTATGGTGAATATTTTTGTTGAATTTAATTGTATTTTATTTCTTTTAGTAATTATTTTTATTTTGTATTTTATAAAATTTTTATTTTATCTTTGTTATGTTTTTTTATATCATAGTTTTGGTTAATTTTCTAAATATATTTTAATTTTATTTTACCATTGTTTCCTTGTTAATATACTTTTAAAAATGTCTATTTATCCTGTAAAATTTAAGGTTTATTGTCTTTATTCCACTGGATGCTGCACTCAGAAGATGTTTTAACAGATATTCAAATATTTAAATGAATAATTAATGAAACAATAAAATAGAACAAATAAAGGAAGTAAGACATAAAGAGGAAGTGTGTGTGTGTGTGTTGCAGGTGTGGTATCCTGCAGATCGGCGACAGGATTTTGTCCATAAATGGAGTTCCTACTGAAGACTCGACTCTGGAAGAAACCAATCAGCTGCTCAGAGACTCGTCCATCACGGCTCAGCTCACACTGGAGATCGAGTTCGACGTGGCAGGTAACGTCACGCTGATGATGTCAAGATACTGAAACTTTTAACTTCAATACGATACATCTGAAAATATCGATATTTGGTTCAAGTTTTGATACCGTGGAAAAACTGACACTGAGTTAACTTCAGTCTGTCGTTAAAGAAACTCGTAAAGTTTCGTCAAAACTTCTTGTTTACAGAGGTCGTTTTGTTTTTGGTCTCAGTTTCTCGTTTGTGGCGGATATATTTTTTGTCTTAGTTTTTGTTTACGACGTTAAATCTGTTGTGAGACGAGCCGACAGTCTGGCGTCTGGCGTCCTGTTTCAGCTGACTGACGTCCAGTCTGTGTTTACTTCTTCTCTGGTGTCTCACTGTAATCTGTCCTCCCACGCCTGAGCGCAGTAAAACATGTTGTTACCAGTGACTCACACACACACACACACACACACACACACACACACACACACAGTGAAGGACCTACTGTATGAGGTACACAGGAAACAGATCCACTGACATCAGCAACTTTGTGGCCAAAAGTATGTGGACACCAGCCTGGCTCCTCACCTTATTATTGATCCAGACGTTCAGGAGGTTTTTACCAGGAGCTGAATTATCCACAGACGTCTCTTCCTCTCCAGAACAAACAGACCAGGGGCCTCATTTATAAAACTCTGCAGAGAATCCACACTAAATGTTTGCGCACTTACAAAAGAGGAAATGTGTGCACACTAGGGATGTAACGATACCAGAAACGCACGATACGATATTATCACGATAAAGAGTCCACGATACGATATTATCACGATATTTATACAAGGGGAAAAAAAGAGAAAATTTATTGTTAAGAATAGCTATTTTATTCAAAAATAGTGCGTGTACATTGTACAGCATGTTATCTTTAACTTGGAAGCGTATCATAAACAAATCAACACACAGTTGAACATGTGCTTTCATTTCCCCTCTGTTACTGCTAGGCAGGCAGAAATTAAAGTGCCATAACAAAGTCATGTCAATTAAAACTGTAGTGACAGAATATGAAAATGGAAACATTCAGTATTTTTTAACCTACTCTGAACAAAGGTAGCGTAGTACTATTACTAGAAGAGTCGTCTGAATGACATCAAATTATGAGGATAGAGTCGTCTTAATATTCATCAAATATACAGAACTTAGAACAATCAGACCCTGCAACAACAACACAATTAACAAATTAGAAATAATACACAGATACAGAGAGAGAGAGAGAGAGATAGAGAGAGAGAGGTGGGTAGAGATGTGTGTAAAAGAAAACCAAAATAAATGAAGCCCACCCATTTCCCTGGAAGTCATAGAAAAACTCAAAAACACACATTCACTCAGTTTGTTCGCGCCAGGTTGACAATCCTGACATCAAGGAGACCCTAACACTTTCTCAGAACAGGAGTTGAGGAGAGGAAAGCTCTGCTCCTGCGTTTTCATGTGATATGCGTGGCATTTCTGTGCGACCCTGCATTCGCGAGTAATCCATCCAAAAGTAATGTGTGTGCAGAGCTGTATGAAAGCTTTGTTACACATTATTTTAGTGTCAATGTCAATGTCAGCTTTATTTATACGGCCAACCAAAGTGCTTTACATTTAAATAAGCAAGAACACCACACAAAAAACGTTTATACAGTGAAATATAACAAAGATAAAAGACCCAATAGAGGTGACTGTACTCAACCAAAGGCCGAGGTGAACAAGTGAGTCTTAATCAGTGATTTAAAAGTGGAGAGGCTATTCGCAGTCCACACAGTCAACAGTAATGCGTTCCACAGAGTGGGAGCCGCGACTGCAAAGGCTCGATCTCCTCTAGTTTTTAAGAGTGATCGAGGAACATTCAAGACCATCTGATTCGCTGATCTGAGGGCTCTGGGGGGCCGATGCAACACAACAAGGTCAGATAGGTATTCTGGAGCCAGCTCATTCAGAGACTTAAAAACAGATAAAAGAATCTTAAAATCAATCCTGTACCTAACCAGAAGCCAGTGAAGTGAAGAGAGCACCGGAGTTATGTGCTCGTGTTTCTTTGTCCCAGTCAGGAGACAAGCTGCTGCATTCTGAACAAGCTGCAGGTGGTTAAGCTCTGACTGCTCAATGCAGACGTACAGGGAGTTGCAATAATCTAAGTGAGAGGTAATAAAAGCATGGATAACTGTTTCGAGGTCTTTCTGGCTTAGATAGAGTTTAACTTTGGCTAAAAGCCTCAGCTGAAAAAAGCTAGACTTGACCACTGAGCTGACCTGTTTGTCTAGCTTAAAAGCACCATCAATAATCACACCAAGATTCCTAGCATGGGATCTCATGTGAGGTGCTAGTGGGCCCAGGGAGCTGGCAAGGACCTGAACCACACCAGGACGACCGAACAGGACAACCTCTGTTTTGTTTTCATTTAACTGTAACTTTATCATTTTTTTTCGTTGTGAAAACATTGTGTGGTCTTGTCGGAAAGCCACGATTCCGCTGTTTCACGTGATATGTGTGGCTTCTCGCTATGGTCGCGGAGAAAATCCACAGAGGAGAACAATCAAACTCCTTACTTTTATTCACTGTTTCCTCCGGTCACGCACGGGTCAGAGTCGGAGACTGAGAGGCTGAGAGGCTGAGCTGCTCTCACCTGCGCGCGCAGTTGCATGCAAAGGATTATGGGGAATGTAGTCGCACAGTCATATTACCGGCTCTGTAGGAGAACGCAGCTATATAACTACCGTGGCATTCCCACGACGGTATTGAGAATTTATTTCATCACGACACCACAAAATTCATATCGTTACATGCCTATAATTAACGCTTAGAAAGTGGCGTACGAACATTTCAAGCCCTTTTTGTGTGTACGCAGTGTTTATAAATGAGGCTCCAGGTGATTTAAACCGGTAAAAACACTAAATAAAGCAGTTTCACGCTTTAAAAAAATCAGCATTTTCCCGACACACTCATCATGGAGGGTCTGCTAACGGCGGCGGCTGATGTGAAACTGCAGAGACACGGCGGTGCAACATGGCGACCTCAGTAAACAACGACCTGAAATGCTTTTTCAAGAAGAATAACTGAAACTGTCTCTGTGTCTCAGAGTCGGTGATTCCCAGTTCAGGAACGTTTCACGTGAAGCTCCCGAAGAAACCCGGAGTGGAGCTGGGAATCACCATCAGCTGTAAGTAAACACACAAACAGGAAGTCATTCATAAATACTTTATATGAACACACCAGCGTGCTCTTCAGATGCGCTCGTCACAGTGTTGTTGTCTGATCCTACCTCTAACTCAGAGTGACATCACATGTGCTGATGAAAGTTTTATTTCTGAAGAGTGATGACATCACTGCTTCCTGTCGCCACGCTGTGAGACACATTTGTCGGTTCAATATTAAACGACCTGCTTTGATTTCATTTTTCCTTTTAACATTTAATCATGTGGAGTAGAGGACGAGTAAACACACTGAATTATTTACTGTTTTCTGTTTCAACTTTTCTGTCTGTGTGAAATCATCTGTAACACGTTCTCTGTCTCTCTGTCTGTCTCTCTGTCTCTCTGTCTGTCTCTCTGTCTGTCTGCAGCTCCGTCCAACAGGAAACCAGGTGATCCTCTGATCATCTCTGACATCAAGAAAGGCAGCGTTGCACACAGGTACACACACACACACACATTAAAGGTGCAGCACACTCACACAGTCATCGCCCAGTGACATCGAGTAGTACGAGTCACAGCGTGTCCGTCATATATGGCGGCCGACAGTGACGCTACAGACAGCACTGATCTTTGCAAAACCTTTAGCTCTCTTTTCGGCATCCCAAGCTGTCGACGCCCTTTTACTACCAAACTGTGGGCGTGTCCTCGGCTGCCAAATATCAACACACATCATCTACAGTTACAGTCGAGCTCTGCGATGGTATTCAGGAGTGGTCGGTGTTTCGGGGGATTTCACAGAAGAGACCTGGGCTCAGAGCACACGTGACCCCAAAGTCTAGTTTGTTTGATCACTGTGAACACTGTGCTGTACCTGAGGACGATTCGGCATACCGTGCTCATTTACGTGTGCTCGGGTAAAGTTCACAACAGGTTTGAGCACCAACTGTACCAAATCATGGAAGTGGACTGATATGTAGCGCCGGGTTCACACTGGACGCAAAAGCACCTCGACCGGTTAATTGTCGCACAGCTGCCCGTCAGCAGTCACGCAAAAAACAGACCAGACGCCGAAACTATCACTGCAGATCACGAGCTGGCCTGGGCGCTCAACGCCGCACCACATCCAGTGTGAACAGAGCAGTTGGTTAACATGGGCGCCAAAAGCAAGTGGGCAGAGCTCCACAGACGAGTTGGTGCGCTTCGCTAATATGAAGCCAGCGTAATGCAACTGCAAGGAGTTTTTAACCGGTTATGAATCAGTCTCAGTTTAATATTGATGCCTTTATATCAGACGGCAGCAAAGCCGACTCTAGACACTTCCTCATCTGGCTTCACTGTCGCCTTCGACCTGTACAATCTGCAGGTGGAGCTCTGGCGGGTGGTTGCCTCACTGCTCCGCTGGTCCCCACTCATGACACATATATATTTATATGTATAACTCACTGGCCGCCTCACTTGGTCAACATATTCTCAGACAACGGTTCGTACGATATCCTACAAATTTGCGCCCCACAAATGACGTTATGTCTTTAATGTACAGTGAGGTGATTTATGTAAAGTTACTGTGGTTAGGTCTGTGAGAAACATGGTGAGGACGTCTCTCAAAACCTTAAAATGACTCAGAGTTCACACTGATCCGAACACGTGACTCCAGGTGAAAGTCCTGGGCCAAAGTCCGTTTAGTTGTGACCCATCCACCACCGCAATTAGGACTGCTTCCTTGTTCACTGCCGTCAGTGCGTTGGTCGCATGATCAGAATTCACGCATGGCTGTTTGATTGTGTCACATCAGACTCTATGAGTGTATCTACTGAAGTACCCACTGAGTGTGTACTTTATATGCATCTCATTTGATAGATTTATCATATGTTTAATCTGTACAGTAACTGCAGCTGTTAGAGAACTGTAGGAGAAGAGTAGAAGTACGAAGTAGCAGAAAATGAGTACTTCAAAACTGTACGTTCAGAGTAAATGTACTTAGTTACTTTATACCACTGCAGACAGCAGAGTGTCAGCTGTGTTGAAGCTCAGTCAGCTGTCTGTAGATGGTTAATTAGGCTAACAGTCCAGGTCAGTGTGTGTGTGTTTTGTAGGTCATGTGTTTTGGGAGTGTGAAGCAGAAAATGTGTTTCAGTCAGCAGGTAGCATGTGTTTACTACAGATATATATCTTCACAGTGAGGGGACGTTACAGGACATAGATGTTAGATAATGTCTCTGTCCTCATGCTTTGGTGTTTTATTTCTTCAGGACGGGGACGTTGGAGCTCGGAGACAAGCTGCTCGCCATCGATAACATCCGCGTGGAGAACTGCTCGATGGAGGAAGCCGTTCAGATCCTGCAGCAGTGTGAGGAGCTCGTCAAGCTGAAGATACGAAAAGACGAAGACAACTCAGGTATGAAGGTTTATTTACTGCCATCGCTGCAGATCGTCCTGCTGCTGTTACATAGTGTTGTGTACTGTGGGCTGTAATGACAGCTGCGTCCTCTAGAGGTCAGTAATGAGACTTTCAACTGTGTCCTGGTGCTACTTTAATTCACCAGCTGTGGAATGTAACCACGTACAGTTATTCTACTTTGAGGTGCTTGTATTTTATTTTCTGTCGTTTGATAATTGTTCTTCACGACAGTTAACTGACGGCTTTAAGTTCACACTGCACGACTTTCAGAGCACTGTTCACACCACACAGGTAGAGTCTTAAACCTTAATCATAAAAGCAAGGCAACATTTGATGCAGTAATTCATGTGGCAAAGTATAAATGTCACCTTTGTGCCGTGAACAGTGACAGAGAGAAAAAGAAAACAGCGAGCTGCAGGTTCAGACCGACGAGATACGGAGGTGTTCCTCAAAACTTCATCCAAGAACTTTAAACGTAACACAGAGAAAGGGTGACACTCTGTATAAATGCACTCACCAACTCTCTGAGGACTCGTATAATTTGGCTGTAACTGCGCGTGGCTGTTAGCGCTGATCTTTGTAAATTGAGCTGTTTGTGCAGCGAGGCTCATTTGCATAGAAAGGGCCCAATTTTGCACCAAGTGTAAATTATATTACCTCATTTAAATACATGTAAATGGCACAGGAGCACCGAGGCGCTGTTTGCTCGGCAGCACAGTGAGGGGTGCGTTTCACCCTTAGTGGGTGCGTGAAGAGAGAATTAAATGGGTTTTTTTTGTCTTATTCGTGCAGGTTTAGTGTCTGTGAACGCAGCACGGTCTGAAAAGGAATCAAACCCCTTTAATATGTTCAAGGACTTTTCAGATCCTCCTTGAATGTCACCAAGCATCCCAATGATCTCCTTAAGGACCTGGGGCCAGTTGCACAAAACCCAAACCCCTTTTTCTTAAAGTGTGAGTTGGGGTTCCCTTAAAATCAGCAGCACAAAACAACTTCAGGTCCTCTCCTGAAGGTTTCCATAAAATGTTGTATTTGGGTTTTCTCCTTATCTCAGTCTCACACTACACAAATCCCTTAACAGACCTCAGCAGCCTAAGTAAGAAAGAAAACTTAAGGTATCTCTGACTCTTTCTAAGCTGCAACATGTCTGTGTTGTGGTGATAAATGAGGAAACTGAACGCTTCCCTTGAAGAGTGTTTCCTAACAGGCAGAACACAGTGGATACGCTTTTGGTTTTACTCTATAGATTTAACTTATATCAGTTTCCTCGACAGTCGTTGTTTTCTGTTCGCTGATAATTGCATATCAAATTTACTTTTTAGTACGTGCTGTCTTTTATCGTTTTCCTCTTTTCTTCTGTCATTTTCTTGACCTGTAGGCTTCTTTGTGAGTCGATAACAGGGATCAAAACGCGAGTGCAAGTAAACAAACTGTAGAACTTTACTGCCCTTAACTAATGAAAAACCTTTTAAGGGTTTCCGTGCACCACCCTCATGTAAGTCCTCAGCTAAGTGTCATACTTGAGGAGAAAACTGAAGGTTTTTCTGTGCAGCCGGTCCCTGAGTTGTTTCAAAGACATCTAAAAACAAACCAGCGAAACAATCCTGCAGCGACGAACCTTCATTGATTGTTTCAGATGAACAGGAAGTGTCCGGCAGCATCATCTACACGGTGGAGCTGCAGAGGTACGGAGGCCCGCTGGGAATCACCATCTCAGGCACAGAGGAGCCCTTCGACCCCATCATCATCTCCTCACTGAGCAAAGGAGGGCTGGCTGAGAGGTACACACACTCTCTACTGTTACATCACTCTCACACTTTAATCCAGGGTCAAGATTCAAACGGTTAATCTGTCACAATCATACAGTGTGTGCAGGGTGTGGTGCACTGTTGAGGATGAGCTTAAGGGCTAATGTGCAATAGAATATATAATAATAAGAGAAGTAAGTGTAGGAATAATAATTAATATGGAATTTAAAAAAAAAAAGAATTTAAAAAATAGTTTGTATTTGAATGCTTTCCTTACTCTGACTATGACATAAATAATATGATGTAGCACTCAGAGAGTTGCTTCACTGTAAAGTAATGAGAGAAAATAATAATAACTTAAACATTTAAACATTAGAATTGACATTTGAACAAGACTAACCTTTTTATTTTACACTGAAACAGCCTGTTAAACAGCATCAGGTGTTTTCACGTCAGAATGAAGTGGAGAGTGTCGCCCTCTGCTGCTGACAATAAATAGCACTTTTATTTTATTACAGTTTAGTGTAATTTATTTAGGATTACTTTATTTTCTATTTTATTTTACTTTTGATTTTATTCTGTAAATGTTATCAGGTTGAAATTGTAGATTGTGTTCAGATTTCTTCAACAAATTAAGAGCAAATACTTTAATAATAATAAATTTTATTTGATGTTCTGAGACTGTTTGAAATTAAGTTGTATTTTAATAGTGTTATCAGGTCAAATCATGTCGTGTTGCTGCAGAAATATGAATCAGGTTTCTGTTGTAACGGTCTCAATAAACACAGTAAGAGAAAAGACAAATAAATAAAGTCTTGCAAAAATGAAGAATCATTAATGGTGAGTATGTGCAGCTGTTCACAGGATGTGCAAAAATACCAACTCAAGGACGCCCTAACCCTGACTTTTGTGTATTTCTTCATGTGTGTGTGTGTGTGTGTGTGCTGTAGGACCGGTGCGATCCATGTAGGCGATCGTATCCTGGCGATCAACAGCAGCAGTCTGAAGGGGAAACCTCTGAGCGAAGCCATCAGTCTGCTGCAACAGGCCGGAGAGACGGTCACACTGAAGATCAAGAAGCAGGGAGAGCGTACGTACACACACTTACATACACACTGACACACACTTGTACACACGTGGCTCAGGAGCTAGAGCGGGTCGTCCCAGCAAGACACTGGACCCCAAGTTGCTCACGATGACCAGTCCATCGGTGTGTGTGTGTGTGTGTGTGAATGTTAAAGCTGAGCAGCAGAGATGATAAACAGGCAACAGACAAAACTAAACGTTCAGTTTTCTAAGTCATAAAAACGTTTCATCTCTCGTTAGTGTCGAGCCCGAAGTCCTGTGTGATTGGTCCAGGCCTGGGGGCGGGGCTTGTCCATGAGCACCAGGACGGGGTGGACGAGCCCGTTGTCATGGTCGCGCCTCTGTCAAGCCAGCGAGCATTCAGCACGCTGCCGTCTGTTGACAGTGCCGTGGAGTCCTGGGACGGATCCAACATGGACAGCAGCTTCACCAACCCGGGTTAGAAGCTGACCTCCGACCTTTGACCTTCTGAAGTATTAAGTCAGGACTGCTACTAATAAAATATCTGTGTGTGTGTGTAGCTCCACCATTTCAGTCGTCTCCGTACACTTTCCACGAGTGGCGCAACGCCAAGACAACCAACAGCCAATCATCTTCCTCCACCCGCCAGAGAGCCAATCCGCTGTCAGATCTGGGCCTGAGCGACGATGACTGGGACCGCCCACCGCTTGGAGGGTAAGAGAGAGAATTAGAAGTCAATGTCTGCAAAATGATTCAGCAGAAAAGTTACGAGAATCGCGTATAAAGAAAACAATAATGGCCGCGGTAACTAACAGTATCAAAATCGAATAATATTTAAAGGAACTAATATTTCTGAGGGATTTTTTAAATTTGATTAATGTTTTAAAAACTGGGCAAATAACGGATTGATGTGATGTAGTCAGATATAGATAAAGGAATAAATCGATCTGAAAGTAAATGGAATGACTGAAGGGGCCTCGAGAAAACACTGTATGCAGGTATAAAAATCTGCACAAACACTGAATCATTCAGGAAGAACGAGAAAATTGAGTTTGAATGTCTTTTGCTGAGGTGTATTTAAATTCTTGGCCTTAAATGTGTACTCGATCAGATTGATCAGATTGTGGAAGAGGAATCGAAGTGGTCTGGAAATCATGGCAAAGGAGGACAAAATAATTAAAAATGAGTTTGATGCCTTGGGAAGTTGATTCCTACACTTCCATTAGCATGTTAGCATTCCTTATTCAAATCAGTGGGAGCTGCTAGCAGCGAGCTAACAGCAGTAACAGCAGTGTGTCTCTGTCTGCAGAGCCTGTAATCTGCCCAGCGGTCTAATCACTGACAGCAGGTACCACACTGACCTTTGACCTGTAACCCCCCCACACAGTCCTGTGTCACCTGGTGACTTTTAACCCCCCCTCCTCACAGTCCTGTGTCACCTGGTGACCTTTAACCCCCCCTCCTCACAGTCCTGTGTCACCTGGTGACCTTTAACCCCCCCTCCTCACAGTCCTGTGTCACCTGGTGACCTTTAACCCCTGCCTCACTGACACATACACCTGATGAATGTGTATGTCGTCGCTCCACGTCGTCCCTCACAGCGCTCACCAGCATGACCTGTTCTTCACCAGTCTCCTCTGTGTGTGTGTGTGTGTGTGTGTGCGTATATGAGGTGTGAACCCATCAGGATGTTCTTCGCTCTGATTGGCTGACCTCTGACCTTTCCCTCAGGTTCACTGTGGGTCATGATGGGACAGAACCAGACCAGGAGGAGAACTTCTGGTCTCAGGCTCTGGAGGATCTGGAGACCTGTGGGCAGAGCGGCATCCTCAGAGAGCTGGAGGTGAGTAGTACTGTTAGACACAGGAGTAGTAGGGTCAGTCCTGCTAGTTACAGGAGCAGTGACAGTAGTAACCACAGCTGACCTCTGACCTTTGCCCTCTCCAATATGGCGGCGAGGTTGATGTAAAATCCAGCAGCCACGTGTTGTATATTTTAATGCCAATACGTTTGTACTTTTACTCAGTAAAAATTTGAATGTAGGACTTTTACTTGTAACGGAGTGTTCTTACCTCTTTGTATTAACTACTTTTACTTAAGTTAAAATTCAAGGTGCTTCTCCCAGTAGTAATAGTATACATCCTTCTCATGCTGAAAGAACTCCATGTTTGTTGGAAATGCAGTGGTAAACGTTGAGAAAAGAAGCTGAAAAGAGAACTGACTCCTTCTCTTCCAGGAGTCTGGACAGGAAACGCACCTCCTCACTCTGGTATCCTCCTCCTCCTCCTCCTCCTCCTCCTCCTCCACTACTAACTCTCCTCCTGTCCTCTCCTCTTTCCTCTCTGTCACTGTTGAAGACGTTTAGCGTTGTCAAACATCAGACATGTTAGCTGTTCTTTTGAATGTGACTCTAACCGCACCCCAGCAGCAACGCTACACAGACCATGGTGACGTCATTGTGACATTTTAGTGACATCACCCAGCTTCTGACCAATCACGTGGCAGAGTCATGTTGCACTGGGCATGGCAGTTTGAGCAAGGCATGCTGGGAGAGCTTGTGCAAGGCCTGATGGGTAGTTTGTTTTGCCAGTCATGAAGCAGATCTGTCAAGTCATGCATGTGTCTGATGAGTCCTTGATTCTGATTGGCTGAGGGGTGTTGAGTGATGTGAGAAGACTTGGGATAGACACACAATATTAAATCCTAGCAACAGGAAGAAACAGCAGTAGAACCTGACAGTAGATCCCAAAATGCAATCTGTTAGCAGATTCCGTCAGTAAAGACAAGAGTAGATCTTGTCAGTAGATACTATCCTCAGGAACAAAGGTAGATCTTAGAGTCAGAAACAACCAAAGTCAGAAACAGCAGAAAGACCTGTCAGTAGAACAGCAGTAAATCCCACAAAGAGAAAAAAAATGGTGGACTCTATCGGTAGATCTTGTCAGTTGAGACAAGTAGATCCAGTCCAAAGAAGAACAGTAGATCCTAGAGAAATCAGAAAGTCAGAAGCAACAACAGTCAGAAACAGCAGTAGAATCTGTCAGCAGAAGAGGGATAGATCCCATCAGAAGAAGAAACAATAGAATCTATTGCTAGATCCTGTCAGTTGAAACAGGAGTAGATCACTGCAGTATCCGTAACTATCAAAAGATCTGGTCAACAGAAAAAGCAATAGATCCCATCGATAGATCCTGTCTTAGGAAACAGTGGTAGATCCTCGTAATAAAGAGTCAGAAACAACAACAATCAGAAACAGCAGTAGAACCTGTGAGTAGAAAAGCAGTAAATCCCAAGAGGAGAGGAAACAATGGAATCTGTTAGTAGAACCTGTCAGTAAAGACAAGATTAGATCTTGTCAGTAGATCCCGTCCTTAGAAACAACAGTAGATTCTAGAAATAGAAAGTCAGAAGCAGCAACAACAGTGAGAAACAGCAGTAGAACTGTAGATCAGTACAACAGGAGTAGATCCCATCAGAAGAAGAAACAATAGAATCTATTACTAGATCCTGCCAGTTGAAACAGGAGTAGATCGCTGCAGTATCAGTAACTATCAAAAGATCTGGTCAACTGAAAAAGCAATAGATTCCATCAGTAGATCCTGTCCTTGGAAACAAGGGTAGATCCTTGAAATAGAGAGTCAGGAACAACAGCAGAACCTGCCAGTAGAACATAAGTAGATGTCACAAGGAGAAGTAACAATGGAGTCTGTTAGTAGATCCTGTCAGTAGAGGCCTCTCTTGTCCTGGTGTGATCATGGCAGCTCAAAGGTCGGACTCCCAGGATGCCTTTGACCTTCATGTTTTTTTGATGAATCTAACAGACTGTTTTATTGTTGATTGGCTCTCTGTGATTGGATATTTTGAATGAATTTCTCCAGGCAACCATCATGTCAGGCTCCACTCTCAGTCTGAACCATGACCCCACCCCCCTACGCAGCACACTGGGACGCCAGGCAAGCTTCCAGGAACGCAGTAACTCCAAACCACAGGTAACCTGACCTCTGACCTCACACTTTGTTACACTTGTCTTATATTTTGTCACATCTTAAAAGTGTTTGTATCTCTTTGAAGAATTATTCCCTTACCTTTTTTCAGGTGACCCCTCGGTCCAACACCTTGCCCTCTGACCCGCAGCGTCGAGCCTTTGCCATGAGGAAGATGAGGCAGGAAGTCAATGAGATCCTAAATCAGAACCCTGTGGAACTCCACAAGGTGACATTTGACCCTCTGACCCTGATTACATTGGTTTCAAAATGTGTTTTGGTGGGCCGAACACATCACCTTTCACATCTGTGTCTATCATGCGTCTCCAAGATTTCAAGCTGACCACCTGCGTACAATTATTAAGCACGGGCTAATCAAGAAATCAAAAAGGTTTCAAGAACTAAAATACATCTATGGGCAATTCCAACCTAGATTGACAGGACAGAGTCATTTGCAACTTGCAAAGGAGCGAAGGACAACGAAAAATGGTTCACTTTCTGATGATCCTGATGATGATGACACATATTCCTGTTATCTCTATGTCCGGGCTGCATCAGGAGGCATTAACATTTACAGTGCAAGATATTTGGACAAATGCATCCCGGCCCACCTCTGCAAGTGGTTTGAATGATCAGATCACCATGGGTCTTGGTGGTCTTTTACACTTGTATTTTGTACTGTCTACTTGTGATATGATCACCCAAAATGTATTTTAAAACCAAGTGTAAACAGGTTCTTTGACACTTTAAGGTGACTAGATGTTCATCTACCTGTTGTGATTCTAACAGAGTGTGTGTCTGTGTTTGTAGCTGACTCTCGAGAAGGCCTCAGATCTGGAAGATTTTGGTTTCAGTGTGTCTGATGGTATGTTGGACCGTGGCGTCTACGTTAACAACATCCGACCGGGAGGCCCAGCAGAGCGGGGCGGCCTCCGAGCCTATGACCGGATACTACAGGTACAAAAACAGGAGTATCTATAGCTGCGTTAGCACCTCTGTACTCAGGTATTTAAACCATATACCTCTTATGTCTTCCAGATTAACCACGTGCGCACCAGGGACTTTGACTGCTGCCTCGTTGTTCCACTGATCGCCGAGTCTCCAAACCACCTCGAGCTTGTTATTAGCCGAAACCCCACCTCCTCCACCACCCTGCTGGCCAATCACACTGACGGTACAACCAACAGCAGCCACTCCCCTCAGCAAATCAGTAGTGAGCTGGGACCATCGGAGCTCTCCACTGGCCAGGGAGAGGATGGTGGTCCAATCAAGTGGAGCCAACCAGGAGAAGGGTTGGGGGCGGGGCTTGGGGTGGGTCAGGTGAATAATAATTCCTTATAGCAGACAAAAAGTGGATAAAACTGGATTAAACTGGTTCTAATCAAACTGGACTGGAGAGGTCAACAAGGAGAACAATACAGCAAAGTTGAATTAAACTGGTTTAGACCCGTCCGAACTGGTTCAGAGTGGACGCCCCATGGTGCTACAAACACCCTCTGGATGAACTTTGACCTTTGACCACTAAAGTTTGACCTTTGAACTGCTGAAGCAGCCTGAAAGCACACTGATGGACCGGAGTAACTCTTCACCTCTTCACTTGAACCAGTTCTGCATACTGGTCCTACTGGTGTCACTGGAACCAGAACTATAACTACTGATCCTACTGGAACTACAGCCAGATCTACTGGTTTATTGGGCTGGGAATTAATGGGTACTGGTTCAACTTGCCCAGAGAGCCATGGCTACTGATTCTATTGAAGCTAGAGCCACAGTCAGTGGTTTTACTGGTTTAAGATTAATGGTTACTGGTTCTACAAGCCTAGAATTGCTGAAGCCAGAGCCACTGGTCTTACTGGTAAAAGACATGGGTTCTGGTCTAAGTGGTTAGAGAATCAAGGCTACTGATTCCCCTGAAACCAGAGCCATGGCTAGTGGTCTTACTGGTCCAAGACACATGGGCTCTGGTCTTAGTGGTTACAGAGCCATGGTCCCAATGAAGCCACAGCTAATGGTCTTACTGGTTTAAGACATGTGGGTTCTTGTCTTAGTGGTGACAGAACCATGGGTACTGGTCCAACTGAAGCTTGAGCCACAGCCACCAGTCCAACACATGGTTCTTGTTCATAGTTGTAATGGTCATAGAATTGTGGGTACTAAGACAGAACCTTCACCAGTGATTCTGCGAGTCCAGAACTGAGGCTCCAGGTCCATCTGGTGTTACTAGAATCACAACCATGGCTTTTGGTTGTACTGGCCAAGGACCTCAGCAGCACAAAGACTGATGGGACTCCAGAATCTAGAACCTGCTGATGGACAAACAGTCCAATGCCTAGTAAACTAGGGATGCTCCGATCAGCCTGTAGAGGGTCGATGTCATTGTCCAAACTGATACTGATCACTGACTGGTTTCTGTTCTTAAACACTGAATTATGTCAAAGTCTTAACCTTGATATTCCTCAAGTTATGGTTAGAAGTACCTTTATTGGTACAGAGGGTTGGGTCAGATGGAAGATTAAAGATGGCTATGGTTACATACAAGTCTTAAGACGGTAAAGCCTAAATATAAAGTTGAAATTGGTTGTTTGAGCTTAAGATTAGACGTGGATGGTGTTTGGTAAGGATTTGGTGTAGTTTAGGTGAGGATAAGAATTTATAAAATCCATAGAATCCATAAAATCACAAATAGATGTAGCTGCTTGAGTTTAATTCTGACATGTGAGCTACTCCTCAGATGTACAAAAAAATGAAATCCTCCATAAAAGAACTCCAAAAATCCCAATTAGCTTGTAGCATGCTATCACACCTTATTCCTAGCCCCAATAATACAATGCGTGAATCATGGGCACAACATCTTGAGCTTAGTGGAACTGGCTTTTTCCAGTGGTAACAATAAGCTAACGGTACGCTAATCCTCTTTCCTGTCAGACATGATAACGTGATCATACCTCTGTTATCTCAAAGCATTCATTGTTTTCTTTTTTAACCAAACACGTTAACGATTGGCTTGCCTTGCTACGTTAACATGTTTCATATAACAGAACCCGAGCTAGCATACAGTAACGTCTACTTCAATAACAGATGAGGTGAACATTTAACATAACTCAATATTAATTTTAGCTCCACGTAAAGTGAATAAACATGATGTTTAACAGCCAACGCTCCACTCCTCTGCCTTAACGACATAGTTGACACATTTTTATAGCTGCTGATTTATTAAATCAGAGTTCTACTGAGAGAAATATAACATCGAATTTAGCAGCAGACTGTCGTTCTAGGTGTCATTCTCTCCCGCAAATTCTAATTTAATACTTCTCCACTCTCGAAACTCTTTTGGTTTTATTCTTGTGTCATTCCAGTCGTGTACTGTGTGTTACAGAAGGGTGTGCATGAATATACGGGACAAATCACGTGCCATATTTATTCATTAAAAGGACCGTGCCTTTTATTTTTTTGATGCAGTGTAACTGGTATTTTACGGGACTGGTGGCAAACTATTCCTCTCCGTAGGCTGGCGATGGAAACTGTGACGGCCGTTAACACACTGCTGTTGAAACCACAAATTTAGCTCAGTCTGGGTACAAAGACATTTTAGCATAATGTTTGACGTTAGCAGCATTTGCTAAACTGAAGGTGAACATGATTGGCGCTGAGGCTAACCATAGAGTCAATGTGACGAACTACCTTACTCACAGGAAGTTGCACCCATTATCATTTCTACAGTAGCGCCCTCAAGAATGAGGTGGATAGACACATTTGAAAGGATACCCAGCCCTAACGTTGGAGAACAGGCAGCCATGTTGGATTCAGTAACTTTAAAGTCTCAGTTTTAAGACGTAGATCAAGTCAGTGATTATCAGCTGATATTGATCGGAGCATCCCTAATGACCTGTACAGACAGACAGAGGGTTTACTGTTAAGATTTTAGTTCTGTGCCATGAATGAGCTGCATACTGGAAGAGTGATAATAATCGTATTGACAATGATGATGATGATGATGATGATGATGATAACACTGAGCAGTTCAATAAGAATCTTTTTCTACTGTTTACACCTGTTGGACTGGCCACACTGTGTGTATGTGTGTGTGTGTGTCTGTGTGTGTGTTTGTATGTTATGTGTGCGTGTTAAACACAAGGCCAGTTAAGCCCCTCCCCCTCCCCTTCCCCCTCCCCCATTCTTCCCTCGACCAATAGGCCGCCAGGACGACGACAGACGGCAGCTCTGAGAGATTCAGCTGATTGGCTGGAACCAATCAGAAAACAAAATCTTCCCTGCCCGTCTGTGATTGGTTCTCCTTGACACACAAGTCGACCAATCAGCTACCAGGAAGAAGCCAAGCATGCCCCCACCTGACTACCCGGCCCCCCCCCCCCAGTAACAGTGATCTATTATGCTAATCGATCGGTGTGTTTTTTGATTGACTGTTGTCAGTTTTCTCTGTTTGTTTGTTTGTTTGTTACCATGGCGACTGAACCTGAAAAGATGTAAAATAGGTTAAAAAACGGTTCAGTCCCGTCGCTGTTCACATCGAGACCATCGAACCCTGAAAATCTTCACCTCATAACCACGAAAACAATGTTACAAGAGAAAAAAAATCCTGATGAAACAGGAAACCTGTGACAGTAAATACCTGTGTGTGTGTGCGTGCGTGCGCGTGTGTGTGTGCGTGTGCGCGAGCATGTGAGCGTGTGTGTATGTTTATTTTGGAGTGATGTCAACATCTTCCTGCTCTCACCTCAGTCTGAACTCACTATTTAAACTGGCCAATGAGAACCCTCCCTCAGCGCCAACCACCAGTAGAAACCCTCCCTGATCTCTAACGACCAATCGCCCTCTGCTAAACGCCCTGTGCTTTGTATTGGAGCACTGTGATTGGCTGTGACTGTGCAGCAGCTGTGAGCATCTGGTTGTGGATAGTTGTGAATCTGAAGCAGTGCTATCATATAGTTAGCATGTGGCTAGCAGACGCTGAACACAGGGCTAGCATAAGCCTAACGTGGCCACACACACACAGCACAAGGCTAATACTAGCTGTGGTTACCACCGAGCAAACTTATGTTCATCATTTGGTAAATATGTGGTTAGCATACACCAAACATCTAGCCAACATACCTGTTAGCACACTGCTAACCCAGGGCAAAACAAAGACAGTGTATGGATAGCACACATTGAGCACAAGGCTAACACAGGGCTAACATCAGGTAAACACAGCTAGTATTTAGTTAGCACACAGCTGACACGGAGCTAGCATCTGGTAGACATTGCTAATAGTTGTTTAGCATACAGCCACAGCAGGGCTAACACCTGGCTAACATTGCTAGGTGTTAAAATAGGGCTAACACCTGGTTAGTACACAATAGAACAAGACTAACACATGGTAAACATAGCTAATATAAGGTTAGCACACAGCTAACACAGGGCTATTAGTCTATATGGATAGCACAGACTTGAAACACAGCCAAGATAAGATAAACAGCTAATATCTTGTTAGCACACTGCTAAAACAGGGCTAACACTTACATAACTCAGCTAGGTGTTTGCACAAGCTAACAGGGCTGGTGTGTGGTACAGACGTACAACAAGGCTAACAGGACTTAAACCTGGTAAACAGAGCTAATATTTACTGTAGCTCACAGCTAACATGGGGCTACAACAGGTATTCAGTTAGCACATGGCTAACCCAGGGTTAACGCCAGGCAAACAAAGCCAGTGTATGGTTGCGCACACCTAACACAAGGCTAATATAGGGCTAAAATGTGGTAAACACAGCTAGCATTTAGGTAAAGTAGGGCTAGCACCTGATTAAAACAACAGGTATGTGGTAATTGCACATTAGAGCAAAGCGTAGACACAATAAACAAAGTTAATATCTTGTTAGCACACTGCTAACACAGGGCTAACAACTAGATAACATAGCTAGCACAGACCAAGGAAGAGGCTAACACAGAACTCACAATTGGTTAAGGGAGCTAATATCCGGTTTAGCTCACAGCTAACTCTGGGATACCACTATTGATAAGTTGCCACATGGCTATCAGAGAGCTAACACCTAGATAACTTAGCTAGGTGTTAGCGCAGACATAGAAACAGGCTAACACAACCAGTATTCGGTTAGCATATGATTAGCATTCGCTATTTCATGGATAACTTTGAACTTTGTGGTCGGTAACTGGGAGTGGTAGCTTTGTTAGCGCTGTTAGCATTCCAGCGTTCAGCTGAGAAAACTGTTCCACCAATGGGAAAAGGCCACAGAGCTGAGGGGGCGTGGCTTCAGGAGGGTTTGATGAGCGAAATCTAAAGCCATACACACTGTGTTTGTGCGCAAGTAAAACTGCTGTGTGTGTATGTGTGTTTGTGAGTGAGTGAGTGTGTGTGTGTGTGTGTGTGTGTGTGTGTGTGTGTGTGTGTGTGTGTGTGTGTGTGTGTATAGCATTGCAGGGATTTGCACTCTAGTGATTCACCTCAGCAAGACATCCGCCCACACACATGCACGCACGCACACACACACACACGCACACACACTCACACACACACTCACGCATCGCACTGCCATTTGAAATAGTGGGTCAGATTAGTTTCCATGTAGCTTCACCAACCAACCAAACTGTATTTTTCTTTAAAGGAACAGGGATGTTGTAAAGTATTTTTGTACAAATTTAATACTTTGGTAGCATGACGTTCCTGATGTTTGTCCTGTAGGGCTCCACTGCTCTCCTCCACCCCCCCTTTGTATGGACGACTACTGAGCAACAATAAAGATGAAGACCTGCTGGGAGGGCTGGACTCCATGTTTGTTTTTAACAAGATTCATGAATTCATCTGTCATTTTACAGCAAAGTGTACGGCGAGCTCTTCGAACATTTAATCAGTGGTGGTGATAAGAATTACAGATATCAAGGATCGCTTTTTGACTCCTTAGAATTCCAAGCATCCGTATTGTAATATTGACCAGTAGCAATTATTATTAAAAATACCTACAATTTATTTCTGACTAGTGGAAATGTAATTGTAAATATCTGTAACTTGATTACAACTAGTCAACTTTTACCACTGCCACTTACCACTGCTCATAATGTGATATTGACTAGTTGCAATTCCAGATTCAACTCAACTCACATCCATGATGAGAATCTCCCGTTCCAGCACATCCCAAAGGTGCTCTATTGGACTGAGATCTGGTGACTGTGGAGGCCATTGGAGTACAGTGAACTCATTGTCATGTTTGAGATGATGTGAGCTTTGTGACATGGTGCGTTATCCTGCTGGAAGTAGCCATCAGAAGATGGGTACACTGTGGTCATAAAGGGATGGACACGCTCAGCAACAATACTCAGGTAGGCTGTGGTGTTTAAACCATGCTCAGTTGGTACTAAGAAAATCTCCCCCACACCATTACACCAACAGCAGCAGCCTGAAGCGTTGATACAAGGCAGGATGGATCCATGCTTCCATCTGAATGTGGTTTTTCCAATCTTCTATTGTCCAGTTTTGGTGAATTGTAGCCTCAGTTTCCTGTTGTTAGCTGACAGGAGTGGCACCTGGTGTGGTCTTCTGCTGCTGTAGCCCATCTGCTTCAAGGTTGGACAAGGTGTTGTTGCTTCAGAGATGCTCTTCTGCACACATTGGTTGGAACCAGTGCTTATTTGACTTCCTGTTGCCTTTCTATCATCTTGAACCAGTCTGGCCATTCTCCTCTGACCTCTGGCATCAACAAGGCATTTTGGCTCACTGGATATTTGCTCTTTTTGGGACCATCCTATGTAAACCCTAGAGATGAAGCTTCTTGGGTTTGGCAGGCTGGTATCGCCGGTTTGTGCCCCAGTTTGCAACCATTGCAGCTCCACTCACAGCACTGAACAGCAAGGACCAGAGGAACCCAGTGACCTGGTCAGATGACTGTGAAACAGCCTTCAACACATTGAAAGCCCACTTGTGTTCTTCCCCTGTCCTCAAAAGCCCAGACTTCAACCAAAGGTTCCTGGTACAGGTGGATGCATCGACAGTCGGCCTTGGAGCAGTCCTGGCCCAAGGAGACCCTGGGCAGGAACGTCCAATCCTGTACCTGAGCCGCAAGCTGCAGCCACGTGAGACCAGGTATTCCACTGTGGAAAAAGAAGGTCTGGCCATTAAGTGGGCACTGGAGAGTCTGCGGTACTATCTACTTGAATTTGATCTGGAAACTGACCACTGGGCTCTCACCTGGATCAACTCCATGAAGGATCACAACAGCCACCTTACCCGGTGGTATCTCTCCCTCCAGCCTTTCAGGTTTGCCATCCGTCACCGATCAGGCAAGGCCAATGTGGTGTCATATTACCTTTCCAGGTTGCCGCACAGCGCCAACCTCCCTGAGGAGGGGGAAGATGTGATCCCAGTAAATACTCAGACCAGCCCGTCTGGCACCAACAACCATGCCACGTTCAAAGTCACTTCAGTCACCTTTCTTTATCATTCTGATGCTCCGTTTGAACTTCAGCAGCTCGTCTTCGCCATGTCTACATGACTAAATGTTAATGAGCTGCTGACACCTGATTGGCTGATTAGATATTTGTGTCAAAACAGTTTACTTGTGGCCAAATTTTAAATGAGACATAGAAGAAAGTGGGGTTTGTTTTTGTTTGTTTTTATGACAGGAGCAGTCGTAGAACGTGATGTAGTCTGAGTGGGCAGAAGTTCGCTGCAGAGATCAGCCTCTCATTGGGTGGAACGAGCCACCCGCTGAAGTCCCGCCCTACCACCTCTGGTTGTGTAGCAGTTTTCAACCATTTTCAACACGTTCTTTACTAACTTTGGCGGTGTTTGATCGCGCAGGGATGTAGCCATTTTTCTGCCATGGTTCGCATCCTGTAGGCGATATTTTTGTGGGCGTGTTACACCAAAACCTGTTTCCCCCGGCAATATTTTTGCAAGCGCACTGTTGCTGTGGCACCGCCCAGAACGATTGTGATTGGTTGAAAGAAATACAAGCAGCCGGGGCGTTTTTTTCTCCAATCTTAAAGTGAGAGTTGGCCCAGCCAGACCTTTCTTTTCTTGAGAAAGGTCTGGTGAGCGAGACTAAACGTGACGTGACCATAGACTTGAAAATCCAATGATAATTTCTCTTGTACAGTTTCTGGCTGTGATAATTTTGCCATTTTTTAAAGAAAACACACCTTCCAAACTGCAGTTGTGTTTCGAGGCTGTCTTTAAAAAATTGTGGTAAAATAAATAGAAATACAAACATTTAAATTTGTCTGTCGCTCTCCTCAGACAAAATAAAAAACATAAGTCCCTCCCAGGTGCTTAAATAATTATGTGACATACCTCCCGTTTTTTGCAGCACCACCCCTCATAAGTAAAGAACAGTCCCTAAGCACAAACAGTCAATGCACATATTCAAGCGTTAATAATTTAATAGTTTCTGCATCAGGTTGAGCGAACAAAGACGGAACAAAGAAATGTAAAATAATAGAAATACAAGGAAATAAAAACCAAATGTCGGCTTTAAATTTCAACACTTTAAACTTCAATCACAGACCTTCCTGCTCGGTGCTCCGCTCTCCTGCCTGCTCTGCTCTGTGAATCGGCGGTGGATTGCTTCGGTCTGTTCTCCGGTGTTTTGTCGCTGTTAGCATCTGCCGCCGTTTCTCCGTCACGTTTTTGGGTCCGTTTCACCACCAGCTAACCGGGGGAAACATTAACCGACCTCTCTGCTGGATTAATCACCGCGGAGCCCGACAGGAAGCATGTCCACCGCCCTGGAGAGCTACATTAACCGTATCCTGCTGCTGCTACCGCTAGCTAGCTAACATGCTAACTGCCCGTCTGAATGAATGGAAACATGCTAGTTAGCTTAGCGCTCAAACTAGGAGTGTTTTGTTGGTTATTTATGAGCGTACAGCGGTGTAGCTCCTCTGTGTAGTGACACAGGAGTGTTGGTAGAGTTAACAGTGCAGGGTGTTATTATTTTTAATTTAATAATGTTAATTTAATGAGTGTTTTGTGCAGAAAAGTGTGTTGTTGCTTTAACTCGGTTGATTCAGGCACTGTGGCCATCATCACCTCAGACGGCAGGATGATTGTGGTGAGTGTAAAACATCCTGAACTACCTGCACTGTTAGATGAAGTGTTGAGATCCTTATCTGCTGTAAAAGTACTGCATGTAACGTTACTCCACTACATGTAAAACACATTCATCAAAATACTTAAGTAGAAGTGTGTGTGGTGCAGTAAAATGTTGAGAGTTAACTGTTTGTATGAATGTTGCTGCCACTTTAATACTGTAAGTCAAAGCATTTTAAGTTTAAAAGGAAAACTCTTGTGTGTGTGTGTGTGTGTGTGTGTGTGTGTGTGTGTGTGTGTTCAGGGCACTCTGAAGGGCTTCGATCAGACCATCAACCTGATCCTGGATGAGAGTCACGAGCGAGTGTTCAGCTCCAGTCAGGGGGTGGAGCAGGTGGTGCTGGGACTCTACATCGTCAGAGGAGACAACGTGTGAGTCACCTTTCACCTGTCAATAATCATTAACGTGTTCATCCATCACATCAGCTCCACTTCTGTATCAGACAATAAGAATAATGGACATAAAACAGGTGGAGGAAGTCTTAAAATCCTTTGCTCAAAGGGACAGTTGGGATCTTTTAAAATGGGTTATAATGAGTGACTGTATTCAGTGTGTTACATACAGCAGATGTAAGTCAGCACGCCCCTAGCTAGTAGAAGCAGGCAGGGAAACTGACACAGGAACTCAGCAATGTCCCTCTGTGTGGGGGGGGGGGGGGCAACAACATACTGCACACTATATTTAGAATATTTTCACCTCTTTACTTTGCCATTAGACAGCCTGATGTGACAGGAAGCTGTTAACAGTGTCACCTCCCCATCTATCTTCTCTTCAAAGCCAGACTCCATTGAGAAAAACAGTAATTTAACATCAGTGGACACAGGAGCTGCTGGGCTACTGCTGCCTCCATCAGTTGTTTAGTTTGTGTCATTGTGTGACTCTTATGAATCTGAACGAACCCTTTGAAACCCCAAAGTCACACAATAACACAAACACAGTTACTGATGGAGGCAGCAGTAGACCAGCAGCTCCTGTGTCCACTGATGTTAAATTTTTGTTTTTCTCAGTGGAGTCTGGCTTTGAAGAGAGCGATGTAACAGCCTTTGTTTCTCATTGGAAATCACTCAGTGTGTTTCGGGTCACAGTCCCAGCTGGACGAGGACATTTAACTAGCCTACTGTCCTTGTCCCAGTATACAAGCACGGGAGGGGAATCCATTTATTGAGCCAAGTATGTGCGACTCCTCTACGATAGGTGGAGATATGCCCCCTTTCAGCTTGTTAGTATTGGACCTTTTTCCTGTTGACCTATTACGTCACAGACCAAACAATGGACAAACAAGTTAGCTACGGTTAGCTAGCAGCTAACTG